CGAGGTGTAAAAGAGGGGGAACATTCACTCCTTAATCTTAGAGGTATAGGTGAGGAAATCATAATTGGCGGGCAACAAATCTTAAACGGTCGACCTAATGGCCGTCGTATAGTCGGTGTAATATGCATCATGGTAGGAAAGCCACACTGTGGCCGAAATTGGAGGTGCACAGGTCAAGGGTCAATGCACACGGGCAGATTTTCGAACATTTTCTGAGGACACGTCTGACGGAGCGATTGAAAAACTTTTGTTTTCAGCGGTTGCCTAGGGCATTTTATGGCTTTATGACAGACATCTGAAATGTCCGTCTGCTACATGCGAAGATAAGTGTCGCGATAAACCTTTGACCGCATCAAGAGGAGGGTAAACATGGATTGTTGACTGTTAATCAAAAGAGTGAAGCTGCTTTGCATTAGTTAGAGCGCCCTCCCCCCACCTCTTCCCCTCCACCACCCCATCCCCCCCCGCGCCTTCCCCCACCCTCCCCTACCCCTCCCCCACCCTCACCCCTACCCTCCATCTGCGTATAGTGGGCGTGTCCTAACATGATCGTACGCAACTGCGTGTCTGCATATCTTTGCGCCTAACAAATGCTGTGACTGACGCACGACTGGAAATTTTAGCGTTTAAATCGTCAGGGCAGACGACCTCCGAAGCCCAGACGCCTGCGGCTCTTCTTAATGTAAAAATGCTTTTTGGAATATTTCTCGATTACCCAAGATTGTTCAAGCAAAATTTTTCCGCCATAAACGGGGGACACAGATGTGCGAATTTTGCTGCGATCACGACTCCCGCAAGCGAAATTCGCAGCAAAGAATATTCGCCACCACGCATGCGATATAGTGAAACACACGGCATTGCGAAATTATCGTACGACCGCAGCGACACACTACATGGACTCTACTGTCTCTCTGTACTGTCGTACGCAGCGGTAAAAAATACCGCAGGTGATAATATCAAAACATGTTGATCGCTGCAGTAATCGGTGGCAAGACTGAAATTTCGGCGAAATTCGCCCGCGCTTGAGGCAGACACATCATGACTGAATTTCGCGCAGTATTTCCTGCCTAGACTCTTAAACTCGTCCAGCAAGCTTATGGATTTGAATTATGGGTGTTTTAAAAAAAAGATAACTTGGCCAAAAAAAGTGTAGGCCCGGGCCTACAGTGCTACATACTGGCTACGCCCCTGGTCGTCCGCACAGAGTGCAAACATGCGTAGAAATAAGCGATCACAACCACGCAATATTACCTGGTCC